ACCGGCACGCGAGAGGAGCGGGGATTGGTACCAGGAGACACCAGGAATGGGGACGGGGATCGGAACCGGGACGGCGTTTGGGGTGGATCGTTATCGAAGCGATACCGGGGACTGAAGCAGGACCAGGCCAGGGAGTTGCTTTCGGAGAGGCTGGATGGGCCGGGACACACCAGGACCAGGGGATGGGGATCCCGGGATGTGGGCGGTTGCTCCTTACCGGCAGAACGAGCAGAGCCCCGTGGGGCCCGTCCGGGTGAGGAGCAACTGCACAAACTGAACACAGCAGTCACCACTGAATGTCGTGCTTCCAGGAGCGTTTCCGTGCTTCCTAACTGCAAATTTGATTTTCAGACTCTTCTCTGCATAAACCCTCCCCTGTTCGAGGTCTACCAGACGCTGCTGAGCCCCACGCAGCACCATGTGGCCCTCATTGGCACCAAGGGGCTCATGGTGCTGGAGCTGCCCAAGCGCTGGGGGAAGAACTCGGAGTTTGAAGGCGGGAAGTCCACGGTGAACTGCAGGTGGGTGCGACGCGGCCCCTCGCGCTGCCCTCCTGCCGGGGTACGGAGGGCATTGGCGTTACCGGGCTCGCGGGGACAGGCACAGGGGCCTTTTAGTTGTGTTTCCCCTTCTTCTTGCCCCTAGCTCCCCCGGGAAGTGGTAGTAACCCGTTCTGGTTTTTTTTGGAGCTGGGTGGGTGGTGGTTGTCGTTGTTTTTGTAGCATTACCTATTTCTGCTCTGTATTACAGCACTGTTCCTATTGCGGAGAGGTTCTTCACAAGCTCAACATCCCTGACGTTAAAACATGCTGCCTGGTATCCCTGTGAGACATTAGAGCCCCATATCGTGCTGTTGACTTCAGATAACACTATCAGGTAAATCTGTTTATAGTGGGTCATCAACATTTTATTTTGAGGTAGGCAGTCTGATCTTTCACTAGTTATTTGTACATTGCCATTCTTACTGGGTTTACCAAAAGACAAATGTGTGTAAGTAATTTTAGCCTCTTAACTACTAGTGTTTCTGCATCAGCAGGGGCACGTGCGACACTGACAGCTGAATGAACATTGTTCCTGTTTCTTTCTTCTAGGATTTACAGCCTGAAGGTGCCTCAGACACCTATCAAAGTGATTGCTCTTTCAGATGCTGAAGAGGAGACTTTAATAATAAATAAAGGGTTTGTGTGACTTGAAATGTTTCTGACATAATAGTATCAAATGGGCTTTTGATGAATGAATCTTCTCATTACTTGTTTTTTTTTCCTTCTTCCCTCCTGCACTTTAGCTGCACCTTTTTTTTTGCCCCACCTTTCTCAAAAAAAAAAAAAAAGGGGGAGGGGGAGGAGGAACAAACTGTATAGTTCTGTGTTTGCTGACATTTAAAAATGTCCATCGTCCTTAAGGTTTGGGGGATAGGGTTTTTGAGAGAGGAATGCTGAAAACAATTGTCATTTTCTCCTTAAAAAGGAGAAATATGGGGCTGTGCTAGTCATTACCCAGGAAATACCAAATGTCCCCTTGTAGCCTGTGAAGCTGGACTGGCTGAGAAGGGTATTTCAGAAATGGGACAGAGTAAGAAGATGCTACCTGTAGGCTTTTGCTGCTGCAAATAGGATGCCAAAGAACTGCTTGAGAGCTCTTGAGCTCTAATTTGTCTGAGAGCACATGCTGATGCACGTAGATAAATCCTCAGAGTAATTTCTGACTTCTGTTTTTGCTCTGCCATGTCCCAGGAGAGCCTATACGGCTTCGCTCGGAGAAACTGCGGTGGCGTTTGACTTCGGGCCCCTGGTGCCCGTCCCAAAGAACATAGTTGGACAGCGAGGGAGTGAAGAGGTGCTGGCCTATCCTCTGTACATCCTATATGAAAACGGGGAGACCTTCCTCACATACATCAACCTCATGCAGAGGTAGGCCTCACGCATCCTCACAGTTCACGGCGGGGCTCTGTGTTTGTGAGTGCTTGGATTTCAGAGGAATCCGTCAGCCTGGCTGGGATTCTCGAATGGATGCTGGATTCACTTTGATCCGATTGCAAAGTGCTCCAGCTTCTCTCATGGCTTCTCTCATGGTTGATAGACAGACATCCAGGAATAGTGTTGCTTCCTTTTTGGATCCAGAGGTGAAGGGTGCAGAAATTAAATAGCACTCTAACCTGCTGCTTTTTGTTCTTTTAATCATCCTTATTTTGTAAGTTACTCTCCAGCTCTTGTAGGCAGCTATGGAGAGCTCTGACCACATCTTCTTTATTTCAGTGCTGGAAATCTCAGCAAGCTGCTAGGCCCTTTGCCCATGCATCCTGCTGCGGAAGATAATTACGGCTACGATGCTTGTGCTGTCCTTTGCCTACCCTGTATTCCAAACATCTTGGTGATTGCCACTGAATCGGGAATGCTTTATCACTGTGTGGTACTGGATGGAGAAGAGGATGATGACCAGGTAGCTTGTCTTGTTCTTTCTATACACGTTTATGCACATGTCCTTTAATAATACATATTAGGGCAGCCTTTGCCTGTATTAGGTAATTCTTTTCCTTGATGTTACTTTTGCTGGCATTTCTATTTAAAGGATGTCTCACTAAAGAATTCAAATGTCCTTTACAGTCAGAAAAATCTTGGGACCCACGATCTGATCTTATTCCTTCGCTGTATGTGTTTGAATGTGTCGAGCTGGAACTTGCACTGAAGCTGGCATCCGGGGACGAGGAAGAGCCTTTGGAGTCTGACTTCTCTTGCCCAATCAAACTGCATCGAGGTAGGGTTGTGATTCAGCCACGTGGTTGTTGGCTTTTACCTGCTTTATTTAATTAATTTAGGATCAGATCATTTGCAGATTATCATTTGCCTCAGGCAGTGGTATTAGAATAAGTATCTGGCTGATGTCTTCATTAAAGATGGGGAAAAATCTGATGAATAAAAGGGGAATTGTCATAAGACAAGCAAGAGGTTGCTGAGACTTGCTCCCGAAGTAGGTGTGTGCATGCAGTGCTCCACTCCCATCTCTTGGTCTCCCCTTTTTTTCCAACCATTTTTTCCATTAAAAGGAATAAGAGTAGTGTTTCATCTTCCTTCAAAATAGAAATTGGCTTAAATCTCCTGTAATAATTAATCTAGGTGGGTTTTTGGCCTATTCAATACTTGTAATAAGATGTTAATGCTGAGTGGCCAGCGGGCCAATACACACATTTGACAATTTGGGATGATGTTTCTTTTTCTGAGTTTGGTGACTTTTCTTAATACATTCACTGTTTAAATTTCAGATCCTAAATGCCCCTCTAGATACCACTGCACACACGAAGCTGGTGTCCATAGTGTTGGGTTGACGTGGATCAACAAACTTCACAAATTCCTTGGGTCAGGTGAGTGGCAGGACTCCGTCATGTGCAGGGGGAAGTGGTTCCCATCAAGACCTCTGTATTTTGGTATCAACAAGTTGGTGAATATGTGGTTAATTCCTAGAATATGTATGTATTAGCTTGCAAAGGGGAGCTAATGCATTCTGACAAATCTGACTGCTTTGTAGATGAAGAAGACAAAGACAGTTTACAAGAGTTGGGAGCAGAACAGAAGTGCTTTGTTGAACATATTCTTTGTACAAAACCATTGCCATGCAGGTAATAAACACAAACACTTTCTATTCCAAATCAGTGAGTTCCTATGTAAAATATTTGATATGCCTCCTTCTGCTGCATTTTCTCTACGAAAAATAATAACTAAGTAAATGTAACAAAATTTGAATAATCAACATGTGTGTCAGGATTTGTTATGCGGTCAGGGTTGTAAGTTAAATTCCTAATTTACTGCCTGAAAATATCATTGAAATAGCAGAAATTGTTTTCAATACCCCAGCGTAACTCAAGGGCTTGATTTGGCTTTCTTAAGAGTTTGAACATTATTGCCCTGTCCTTTTTGCGTCAGTAATTCCTGTGTTCTCTTCCCGCAGGCAGCCTGCTCCCATTAGAGGATTTTGGATAGTCTCTGACATCCTGGGGCCGACAATGATCTGCATCACAAACACCTATGAGTGTATTACGAGACCGCTCTTGTACGTGGTTCTTAATTGGATTGAAATCCATGGTTTTAACTGACCTGTGCAGAGGTGACTGTCTTACAAAATGCATTTCAGGATTGTATTTTATTTAGTTAGTTAGTTAGTTTTGGTCCTTTTCCCCTCAGAGTTCTGTACCTCTCATAAGGCACAGTCATTTTTTTCCTACTGAACATTCCCTCACTGAGCTCTGAATTAGTCTCATACTAGTTATTTAAGACAGAAAAGGTGGTTTGGAAGGGGGAGGAAAGTATACATATATATACACATTAATCTTTATACTAAAGACTCTGGCTTTAAGGCATTATTGAAATAATTCTTGGAACACTTTTGACTTACTGCTATAATACACTAATTCCCCAGTGGCTGAGTTCCTTAACGATTGTTTCAGCGGTGCCGTAGCTTAGACGTTATGAAGTTCTCTAGCGTTTGCTGTGCTTGGCAGGAGCACAGTCCATCCTGCGTCCCCCCCTCTGCTGTGCACGAGAGAGGACAGCAGCGTGGCGGTGTCCCCGCTCCGCATCCTGGCCGAGTCGCAGCACTCCTTCGAGAAGCACGTCCGCAGCATCCTGCAGCGCAGCTCGGCCAACCCCTTGGTGCTCAAGTAAGGGAAAGCCTTTTCCTAGGGAAGCTGATGTGGAGGGTGTCCAGGAGTACTGTGTGTTCATCAGTTTCTAATCAAAGAGCATATCAGATTCAGTTTTTCAGGGCTTCATCCCACTGGGGTTTGAGTATCTTCTTAAAAGAACTCGGAATGTCCTCGCTAGGAAGACTGTCTCGCATAGACTCTCTTTTCCATCTCTGATCTCAAGTCCTTAGCATACATAGTGGAAATGTATATCCTTTTGAAAGACCGTGGAATAAGTAGGATTGCAAAAATCTGTTTCATATATGAAGGTCTGCAGATAAAGATGCTGCTCCTCCCCCTGAAGAATGCCTGCAGCTTCTTAGCAGAGCCACCCAAGTGTTCAGAGAGGAATATATACTGAAACAAGATCTGGCAAAAGAAGAAATTCAGCAGAGGTAAGACAAAAAAGTTTTAAATATTGCACAATGTCTGTATGAAACAGAGTCACCAAGTACTCAGCATTAAACCTCCTCTGCTGGAATAACTTACAAATAAGTAAAGTTCTGTTATGTGACTCCTCCTGTAATACTAAGGGCGTGCTAAAGACTCCCTTTTAGAGAATTGTAAGGCAAACAGAATTGTAAGAAAGTGGGAAGCGGCGGGGAGGGGACTGGGGCTGGTATAACATCTTGCAGCTGTTGGGAGGAAAGAAAAAGTGAAAACAGCACATAAAATATTTCTGCTGTGGGTGAACATTAATAACTTTCTCTGATTCTTTCTGTGTAGCCTAAGTCCTGATTCAATT